GCAAAGGCTGCTCACCAAAAGCTTGCCTGCTTACCTCAACAACTTTTGATGCTTAATAAAGCTCATATCAGACCTTTTTTGGAGTATTGTTCTCATGTATGGAGCTTCGCCCCGAATCATACGCTGAAACTGTTGGATTCCATCCAGAAAAGAGCCCTCCGCCTGATTGGAGACGCGAATATCAACTTTCATAGTCTGGAACATAGGAGAAAGGATGGAGATTTGTCTCTGTTCTATAGGTATTTTCACTGGAGATGTTCAAGTGACTTGGCACATTTGATTCCACCAAGCACTTTGAATTAGGAATTGATTGATTGATGATTGTAGAGATTGATATTCAATGAATTTTTTTTAATGAATAAAATTTTATTAAAACAACGATAAAAATAAAATAAAAACAAAAATTAATTGGCGCTCCGGGGCGACTTCATTGATTCCATGAATTTTTAATAGACCTTGTGAGTTCGTATCGAGGCTGTATGAACATACCTGCATTTCTTGTAGCATGATGATGAATATCCTGATGTTGCGAATAGACTGATTTATTTTTATGGATTTCAAGTTATTGACTATACATATATGAACAGCGATGGTAGTGGTAGTATACTCATTTTTTAAAGCGGTTTGCATTGGCATTCATCAATATTCTGACTGCTTTTTTCTGAAGTCTGATGATATTAATGGAGTTAGAGGAATTACCCCACAAAACTATTCCATAAGTCATATGTGAGTGGAACAAAGCAAAATATGATTTTCTCAGGGCGTCAAGAGACAATACTCTAGCTGTCGAAAATCAAATATACTCTTGAACAGCTTCTTACTCAGTTCATCAATGTGTGTACAATTCCGATCAAGAGTGAGTCCTAGTAGTTTGGTAGTATCATCGCCATTTTCAGTGATTTAGTCTAGTTCACATGTACTTTTTTTGTAACATTTTTCAGCCCTATCCAAAACTTACGACCAAGATGTCATTCGATTCGTATTTTTGCCTAGGAAGTTTAAGGAAAGGTCCGAAAACGCGGCGATAGAAATTACAAAAGTTATAAAAAATTAAGTGAAAAAAATGGGGCTTTAGTTTCTTCTTAATATCTCGGAAAGTTTTCAAAATTTTGGAAATTTGAAGAAAGATTTGAAAAGATCAATGAATTTGCGTAAAAAAAGTCCCGACTCCCGAAACTGTATCTCGATTATTTATAATTTTTACAGAGCCCTGAAAATAGAGCCAAAAGCGGGTAGTCTGGCTTCCGCGCGCCTTTCGTCACTCTGACATAAAAACAAAAAAAAT